AGTCCAAGATCAAGGTGCGGGTGGGTGAACCCAGCCTAATTCCATCTTAAGATTGGGAGCCATCATCACAAAGTCATGAAAAGTTAGTTTCTGTTTTACCATAAATTACTGTAATTTTTAAACTTGCTTGAGATGCCTGCCCATGCCTTGACTCGCCCATGCCTGGTTTTCCCTGACAGATAACCCTCTCTGAAAGCTTAGCGGTGCCTCATAAGTTCTGGTGTTGGGATCTAACTTGAAATGTTGAACCATTTAGATCATTAACTTGCTACCTGCCTTTGTACTATGCTTGTCAAAACCCTGTTATCTGTAGGTTCTCAAGACACACCCCCTTTTGCAACTTTTTGTGCTATAAAACCGTGTTCCCAGAGAGCTGGGGTGCTGTCCTCTAACCCATGGATTTTGGGAGAGCCAGCCCTGGCCAGCTGGAATTACAAACTTGCTTTAATTTGATTTAAAATTGGAGTCGGTGGTCTTTTCTTTCCCTGCAAGTTGAACATCACCTCCTGGGGGCAGGGGAGGGGACGAGAACCCTCATTGTGACAAGCACAGACTGGTCACCATTTAGAGCCCCACGCTAACACCTTGCGCTGGGGGCCTTTCCCACACATGAGCCTCAGGGACATCTTCCTTCTCTGAGTCTGTGGGGGCCTGTGACTTGGGGCTGATGGCTTGTTCCTCCAGCAGCTTCTCGGTATTTCAGGCATCTGCAGAGAAAAGGGGACTCATTAAAACCTCCCCTTTATTTCTTAGCCTCGGCTGGAGTGGAAATGCAAGCCTCCGAGTCAGAAGGGCTCTGGGTTCTCCCAGAAATGTCTTTGTGTTTGTCTCTTTTCCTTTCTCCTCCTCCAGGCAGAGCAGTCCTGAGACGGACAGGGTCCCCTGTCCCTTCCCTGGCTTAGCACTTAGTTTCAGATCTGTCTCCTCTGGGCTCCTCATTTGTCTTTCATCCTCTCTTTGGGGTATCCATGTGCCATCCGCCATACGTGGTTCTACAGAGCAAGAGATGGTCAATGCACTCTGGGCTGTGGTCAGACTCAGCACTTGGCACCATGTCATTATCCAGGTCTATTTTATCACAGTGTTTGATTGTCTTATGCCTCTGAAAATATATCCATGATAGCTTGGCATATAATTAAGAACACCTTGAAATACCCTTTTCTTTTGAAGTATTTTAAAATAGGAAGGTCTTAGCTACTGCCATGGTCTGAATGGACATCTCTCCAGGATTCGTGTTGAAAGCTAACCCTCACTGCTTGATGTTAACAGGTGCTTGGGCAGTGTTAGTCGCTCCTGAGTGGGATCTGTGCCCTGCCCCAGCCTATAGCCTCTTTTCTGGGAGCACGGATGGTCCCTCTACCAGGTACGGACAGGCAGAAGGTGCCATCCACAAGGAATAGGCCCTCACCAGACCCGGAATCTGTTGGTACCGTGATCTTGGACTGTCCAGGTCCCAGAACTGTGGAGCAATACATTTCTATTTATGAATAACCTAACCTGGGGCTGGGGATGTGGCTCACTTGGTAGAGCACTCACCTGGCATGCGTGAGGCACTGAGTTCAATCCTCAGTACCACACAAAAATTGTGTCCACCTTAAAAATAATAATAAAAATAAATAACCTAACCCACAGCATTTTGTTATAGCAGCTCAAACAAAATAAGAAAGCTATCTAATAAGACATATTATTAGGAAGAAAACATTTCTATACTTCTTACTTTGTATTTCTTATTTTCTTGTATGACTAAGTCCTCACTTCGGTGTTGAGTGTAAAAGTGAAAATGTATGTACTAATTTATGTTTTTGTATTTAGAGGGATAGCGTCTAGTGCTTCACCATTAATCATGGTGTTTGTTTGAGTTTCTAGTGGGTAGCTTTTTATCAAATCCCTAAAGTTTCCGTCTGTTCTTAGTTATCTCAGATTTTAAAAAATAAGCCAATGTTGATTATTATGTGATTATCACCCTTTATTCTCTTGTGGCAGTGATTGGTACCTTTTCCTGAGATTCAACCACTCTTGCATTTCCAGCAACCGTACTTGCTCGAGATGGCTTATTATTTTTGCAAAAACTTTGGGAGTCTGTGTGTAGAATTCATAGGTTGCTCCCTGCATCTTAGAGGGGGCCACTTTCCAGGCAGAGGGGAAACTGCTGTACTCCAGACCCTTCCCGTGTGCTGGCATGTGGCCCATATTTGGGGTCGGCAGAGCAGCTGGCAGCTCCTGGAGCTCCTGACCCCTGCTCTACCTAGAAGACGGCTTTCTGTGCCCAGCGGGGCCCCCGCGCTCTTCCACGTGGGAGTTGGGATGTGAGAGCAAGGTGCTTTCCCAGGGCCACACCGCCTCACTCACCTGTGTTCCTCAGGGTGTGGCAGCGCCCAGCCAGGGGTCCTCTGAGCAGGGACGCTGCACTGGCACACACACTGTCTCTCCATCAGAGTCACTGTGACATAGGGGCTGGCCAGGTGCCACGTTCCTGTGAAGGCAAGGGCCAGCCTTGCAGGGCCAGTCCTGGGACACCTGGGCCTCCTGCGGCTTCCAGCTGTCACTGTGGGTGCTGTTCTGGCTCGAGAAGCTGCCGTCCTTTCTGCTTGCTCCTGCCTCACAGGCCCACCGGTGCCTGGCCCTAGTCCCTGGCCTCACACTGCTGCCCGAGGGTATGTCTCTCACCTTGCCCTGCCTTTCTTACCCGCCTGCGGTTTCCAGGGTCCAATCCTCAACTCCTCTTGAAACTAGGTGACAGGTCCTCTCCTGTGCGTGACCCTCACACACCCTGACACATTCCAGTCATTGCTCTTTCTGCTGGCATCTGTGAGCTCCTGGGGGGGGGGGACCTGCAGTCCAGTGTGTAGCGCCAGCTCAGCCAGGGCCTCCACACTGCTGGCAACCTGGGGAGGCCTGCCGCAACCTCCTGGTCCTCTTGCCTCTCAGGACCGTGCAGGTTGCTCTCCTGCCACTCAAAAGCCCGTTATTTAAGCTCTCGTTCTGAGACATACCACAGAGAAATCATGATGTGTCATAGGTGGTTGATAAGTCATTGCTTTGAACTGTGTGACCTCTGGACACTGAAACACTGCTCTTAGGAACCCTGCGGGACGAGGGACATGGGGGAACATCCTTGCAAGGTGGTTCCTGTTGATGGGGGAGATTCTGTGTTTGCCATGGAACTCACTATTTCAAAAAGCCTAGATTTAGGAGCTCCAGTGGCGCAATCGGTTAGCGTGCAGTACTTATACAAAAAGCCTAAATTTCAAAATGCAGACTCGTGGGGGGGGGAGGTGGACAAGGTGGGCATGGCCTGCCAAGCCCCAGCCCCCAGCCAACTTGTTTTTCCACCTCCATCCTGTTTTCCTCAAGAAACCTGTCACACTGAAACTCTTTGATGTTCCTACCTATAAAAATAAAACGCGGGCTCTTATTCATTGTCAGATCCGACCATCAGAGCTGGTCACCTACCTGCCCCTGCTTTCATTAATAAATGAGTCTTTATTCCTATAATTCTGAATTTCTTTTTCTCAACATCACTTTGCGGATCTCGCCGTACGGGACACCAAAGTGATGTTGGGAGTGGGTTATTCAACTTCCTGGCCCCTCCCTGCAGGTGACCTTTTTGTGGTCTCCTGCCTGTGGTTCTGCCAGGCTGATGGGAGACAGTGTCTGTTCTTCCCTGCGTCTGGCCTGGGACCTCATCTACTCCGTCCCATTGTGGGAGGCCCCTGCTGGTCTGCAGGGCTGGCCCACCGCCTGCTCAGCTTCCTGTTCTTGACTGGGCTTTCATATTCACGGGAGCACTTCTGCCAATCCCTGATCTTTGCTAGACACCACCCACTGTATCTCTTTCCTTCCAAAGTGACCTTTCTAGAAAGAGAACTGAACACTGGTGACAGCCCACTCCTTGTCTTGTTCTGACTCCTCATCCTGCAGTCACCTGACATCTCCTGCAACGGTCTGTGAAAGCACTCCTCCTCTCGCTGCCCGCTGCCTGAGGTCCACCAGTGCCTGAATCAGGATCTGTCCACGTTCCTCTTTCTGATTTCCTGCTGTTTTCCATTGCAGGCCGTATCGGAGACACCAGTGTCAGGTTGCCATAGCAATTCTCACATACTGACCTTTCCCTCTTGCTTTTTCTGGGTGAAGTGTACCCACTCCTCTCTGCCCTAAGAAAAGTGGTGCCCCTGCAAACTCCAGCCCAGGATGCCAACTTGGAGGAGCATGGCTCCTGTTCCTGAGTGCAGGTGCCAGGGGCAGGTGTGAGCTCAGAGCCCACAATGGCCAAGGGACATGCAGGTCCCTCCAGTTCTGGAGTGCTGGCTGGCACTCAAGGACACTCCCTGCCACTGCTTCCAGGAGTGACGTGGGTCTCAGGTTTGGAGGGTTAGACATGACGGAGGTGACCTTGTCCTCCATGCCTCAGGAATAGCCCTGAAACTCGCTGGAAGTACCCTCAGGCCACCCTGTGCTATAAGAGAAGGGAGAGGGGCAGCAGGGTGTGGGCCCGCCTGCCGCACACTGAGGAAGCACTTGCTCAGGGCAGGCTGGAGCCGGTGTTCTCAGTGCTTGCAGGGTGGCTGCATCTGGGCTGAAGCATGCAGGGAGAGGCCTGCTGCCATCTGTAGCAGGATCACACCTGGAGCCCTTGACCACGCCAGCTAGTAAGGTCGTGCCAAGGAGTCCTTTACTCCAGGCATGTTCATTTGGTCGTCTCCTCGTCCCACCATCCTGAGTACCCCAAAAGGTCAGAAGCAGTGAGCATGTCCCCTTCTTGGGTAGGACATACCCCCTCCCCATCAACGGAAAGGCCCTTAGTAGCAAAGAGGAGCAGAAGAAGGCAGGGGCTGTCAGTAAGAGTTTTGAGGCTTGATTGCAGAGAGTGGTCAACAAAACCACTGCCCAGAGTCAGGACTGACTCACTGTGATGCAAAATGAGACATTGCTAGGCAGAGGGCTACTGTACTCTAACCCACCCACCCATCCTGAGGCACCCAAGGAGTCAGACCAAGGGGTAACCAAAGGAGAACTAGTTTAATGCAACAGATTTCAACAGTCTGTGGTGAGCTTATGTCCCAGAAAGCGTAGCCCAGGCCCTTCTGAGCTTACAGCAAGCTAAGGCCTGCAAAGGTGGTGGCACTGGCCATGACAACAGTCAGCATGGCTTGGCTATGGCTCCTCACACTGGCCCTGTCAGCCTGTTCTCGGAAGGACTCTCCTTTGAAGTTTGGTGCATTCAAATTGCATAAATTGCCCTTACAGCAGTTCACGTAGAAGAAAGGCATGGGCTTTTCGATTAAAAAGGACTTTTGGTCGAGTATTGGCATCACATACGGACAAAACATGGAACACTGCTTTGAAACGTAGAAGAAACGTGACAATATTTCTAACAGGAAAGAAAGAGAAAGAAATCGAGTGAGTTCAGAGCCCTATGCCAGCACCTTTGTGGCTGTCAGTCTAAGCCTGCACCTCCTGGGGACCCTTGTCAGAGGCTCCCACTCAATAAGGCACCCGCAGGAAGGCGTGAGCCATGGCTCAGATGCAAGAAGGGCAGCTTCCCTCTCAGCTGCTTCAGGGAGGGTAGCTTGGGTGCAGCATGGCCTTGAATGCCTGCCTCTGTCCTGTCCACGTGTGCGCCAGTGGCACACATGCTCCTGTGCCTCAGCTCTTAAACTCAGGCTTGCTCAAGCCTTTTGTTTGTCCAGACACTTGGGCTGAAGGCTTCCCAGCAATCCCTGCATTGCCTACAGCTGGAGCTGGCCCTGAGTGGGCCTGGCCCAGCTCTGGGCAGGCACTGGTCTCAGTACTTGACCTTATCTTCTCCTTTGTGCACATCATTTCCCACATTAAAGTGAACTGCCCAACCACTGCTTCATCACCCACAAACTTCCCAGAATGCAGAGGCCCCAGGGAATAACCTGAGAACCAAAACTGAATCCCCAAGCCCCAAAAATACCACTGTGGGAAGAATGTTGCAGGTTTTCTCATTTAGCTTTGGAGAGCTTTTGGTGTGCCCAGAATCTTGGGTCAACTACAGATGTCAGCACCTTGGTCCGCAAACATCATAAAGCATGCACACTCTTTGGAGAGCATGCAGTGAGCCTGTACTGTTGTTTCACTCATCTCTGACACACTGTTTTTAGTGAGGCACTTGTCATCATTAGAGCTTAACTTTTCATTTAAAAACAAATTAAAAAATCACTATTTTCTCCTGGTACTCCAATATTTCACTGTGACCAACTGCCTGTGTTTGCCACCCTACCCTAACCCCATGCCATTCAACGCTGCCTCACTGGCACTCACCACCTGTCAGGCTTTGTTTGCTCTTCAACTGCTGTTGCCCCAATCCTGGGGATTGAACCCAGCCGCTTGTGCGTACTAGACAAGCGTCCACCACTGAACTCAACCCCTAGCCCTTGAGGGCTTTTTAAAAGGCCACGCTTCGCTTATTTTTCTCTCTGGAGGCAGACCAGAGGGCTCCTAATTCCTGAGACTCTTCAGGGCTCTGGGGGGACCTGGACCTGAACAGAGACACTTACTGACTGCCACAAGATTACAGTATGTGACATTTTCTTCACATTCCTGTTCATTGGTGCAGCCAAAATCATTCTCTTTCTCACAAACGTGACATCTCAGATTCTCTGAAATGAGGAACAAAGCAAAAAATGTAGATCGTCACAGTTCTCCTCCTGTCAGAGACACCCCTCTGTCCTCCCAACCCCATGGCCCACACTCACTGCCTAGTTCTCCTCCCTCTGTGGGCCCCGCACTCACTCACTAAATGTGTCACCCACTGGGTCCCTCACGCACAATGGGCGCATGCAGTGCGGGTGTCCTCACGTGCCCCGCACTGAGCGGCCTTCCGGGCACACACTCCTCGGCCTGGGCCTCGGGCCAGCCTGGGCTGGAGGGTGCCCCGTGCGGGAGCACCGACCCGCTCTGGGGAGGCCAGGTCGCTCTCGCCACTGACTCGTGCTTGCAGGCGCCGCTTGGAGCATGCGGCTGCTCGCTGGGGACCCGCTGGGGACCGCGAGGCGCCCTCCCGCCCACGCAGCTCCTGGGATTCGCGGCCGGCCACCGCGGCGCTGCCTCCCTTCCCACGCGGACGCACCTTGCCGTCTGGTCCTGTTGCTAGTCAGCGCCTGAGGCAGGTCCAAGGTCAGCAGCAAGGCCAGCAGGGCCACCGCCTGCAGCGGGCGCCCAGCCCTGCGGGGAGCGAGAGCGTTCGGCCGGCCTGCCCGGG